TGAAAACGCGCGGAGCGCTTCTCATCTCCGTTCCGAGTGGTTTTCAGAGCTTCTGCTAGGAGTTACTCCCGGTAAGACACGTTACAGCGGTCAGCGGTATACACATACACACACACTGGTGTTTTTCGGAGCGCTCCGTGCGATCGTTGCAGCGCTTTGCCGTCAGTCTCTGTCAGCCTGTCAGGAGCGGAGCCGCCCTCTGCCGGGTACGGTTTAGACAGTAGCTTTTAATCACTGCAGTTAAATACTCAACAAAGAACATATTTACCACGTAACTCCCACTAGCAAAAAGTCTCCCCCCAAAAGTTCTTTTGCTAATGTAAGAATATAGCAAAACACCGATCACACAGATGTTTATAGCAACATTTTAAAACAAGGTAGTTCACATACCGAAGCACAAAGAGTAATAGTACCACTGCTGTTTAAAATGTACAAGTACTGGTTAATGACCTGAACAGAAAAAAGCACTATAGAAAACTCATTATCGTCACTCCTCTATCCAACTGCAGCTCATGGCAAATGATATACTGTTTAAAGGAAGAGTGGATTATTTTAAAGTTTTGATAGCATTTGATTTTTTTTTTTTGTAAATAAAAAGTACTGTCATTGTATATTTTGCTACTATAAATATAATGCTAGTATGTGGTGTTTCAGTTCCCAGTTTTGCAAGACCGGTGCAGTTTTGTTGGTAAGCAAGCCAATGCGTGTAGGCATGTAGTTGCAGTCCCCCAAGAGATGACACCATTGTGACACGTTCAGCTTTAGATTAAAATACATGGCTGCGTACCTAAGTTGTGTCCTAAGACCCTGTGAATCATAAGGAGAGCTGCAGGGCTGTGTAGCATACAATATATGTATGCTAAAGAAATCAGTTATTTTAAATTGCCTTCAGATAATGACGTATCATATTTTATGTGACATCACTTGAGCTTTAGAAAAATTATAAAAGCGCACGGAATTGTGGCTTTGTAAGATAATATGTAAAACTGCGACTTAGCCTTCACTAGCCTCAAAGCAGCACCGCACAGGGGGCCATCACTGTCTCTGGATAAGGAAGAGTTGTTATTTACTGCAGAAGTGACAGAATGACATTGTTCAGCTCAGAGAATTACTGTTCTCCTGTTTTCTCTGAAGGGAAGATTTTAAAAATACAGCAGGGGAGGATGCATTGCTGACAGCCCCAGCACAGGAGATGACTTTTCTCCTCTCTCAGTGTTGTAATGTGGCTGCTGACTCCCTCACTCTGGTCCTTCTGTAGGACAAGAAAGCCCTTCTACTGTGCAAAAGAGGAGAGTGGGAAAAGCCACCTCCAATATATTGTCTGCAGCTGGGAAAGACTGCTTCGTATCTCAAAAGCCAAGGGGATTTTTTTTTCCCAGAGGTTGAGGGAAAACTTGCTGCATCAGTTGTTTCCAATTTGTGGGGAAAAAAGTATCTTTAAAATAGTAATGAAAGAATGGGTGATATGGAACAATTATTCTGAAGTAATGCTAGTGAGTGTATGTCACAATAAGATTTAATAGCTGAAATGTACTGACACAGAAAATTAAAAGTCAAATATTGAATATATTAATATGCAAAGTTTTGTTTGTATTTTGAAATTAAACTATTTTCATTGTGCCTCAAATTCAACTCTAAGCCTTACAAATATCCATAGCCTCTGTTATAAATTAAACAGCTTCTAAACAATACTTGTCAACATTCAAATCTCAATAAACTTTGGCAGCTCTTTGGTAAATACTTATAAATAGCAATTAACAAAACAATAAAAAGGAAGTGGGGAGGCTACCAGCAGGGAGCCTCTTGTTTTTGAAATTCCACAAAGGGGAACAGAAATGAGAGAGCTCCCTAGCAAAACCTCTTTCCAAGATGTTAATGAGATTAGTAGCTCATCCTTCTTTTCTCTCTCTATTCAAATACTGTTACATCAGGACTTTAATAAATTTCAGACAACTTTTTGTGCTCTACCATATATACATATTCAAAATTTACACACGAACAATAGTGGCTGTTTATGAGCAGAGATAAGTTTCAGTGCATTTGACAATTAATTATTGCACACAGAATAATCTCAAATGCCCAATCATTCTACTGGATAAATGTAAGCAACATATATAACCTCTTATATTTTTGAACATCTATCTTTCTGTAAAATCTTGTGTTGGTAACACCTTAGGTGCCAAAGGTGTGAAAGGATCAGCGGGGGATCTGTTGCTGGTTATTCTTGATGGTATAGGAGGTGCAGGTGGTCTTCTTGCTGGCATTGTATAGAAGCAATTAGTAGAACTTTTACTCCAGTCATTATCAAAGTTAAAGTCTGAACCAAGAAAAGTATTTTGTTTGGTGCCCAGCAAATCTGGAGATCCAGCTGACTTCCTGGAACTGGTTTGCTTAAAATCTGGAACACTTTTAGATGGCTTTAGCTTTACGTTGAAATTCTCATCATCATCATCAAATGTTACCCATCCTTTTGGCTGTACATTTTTTACCACAAGAGATTTACTTCGCAAGCAAAAAGTGTTTTCCTGTGCATCGGTGGAAAATACAGGTGTGCTTGTATTACAGCTGGGGGGATTTAGAGAAGGGAAAGGATTGCAAGCAGCATGTCCTTCTAGTAAATGTGAAGTTACTTCTGCCTTTTGTGTTTCCGTTCTAAATGGGTTTCCAGCATTAGGAGTTCTTTCAGTGAATGGATTTGTGCAGTTCAGTCCAGTAATAAATGGATTTGGAGAGCTGCGCTTATGTTCCTGGGATGCGCTAAAGGTCGGAATAGGAGGCATTGGTGGCATGCAATTTACAGTATTCAGAATATCAGCATTTCTTGGTGTTGCTGAAGGCAACTGTATCAACTCCTTTTGGTTTGAAGTCGGAACAGGTGATGTTCGAACAGACGTCTGCATCTTTGACACAAGCAGCTTAAATGACAAATCTTCGAAAGGATCACTGTTTAACTGTGTTTCAAGTTTAGTGCCGCACGTTCCATTTGTTTTAATCTGGAAAGAAAACAAGGTGCTTAGTAATCACGTGGCTGGCTGTTCTGAGGTTAGTAATAACTCCCCATTTCTCGCTCTTCCATGAGAGGAAAAGAAGCTCTTGGGAACAACTGAAACCTCAATATAGTTTGGTTATAACTTGCACAATGCACTTGTAGGAGAATGATTGCTCCTTTTCTGGACAAAAATAACCCTTAATCCCTTCACTGAAGAAAAGCCTGCTAGTCATTAAACACAATTTTCCCCCTTGTTGGTTGATGCAGCTTAAATCTACTTCATGCAGCTCAGAATCCTAGCCAAAAGCACCGGTGGGCATTGTCTAAGGAAATCTTTAAGAAACTTGGGAAATTATGCTGTATTCTAAACAAGTGATAACCCAGCACAAACCTAAAATAAAAAGCTCTAGGTTTCATCATTTGAGAGTTTATAACGTTGATGTTACAAGCAATATTTAAGCATTACAATGAAAGGAAAAATTAGTGTGATTAGTATATGCACTTCAGACATTTCTATGTAGACATACGCATCTGTAGGCATCTCCAGTGCTTCTTGACATTTAAAGGTACAGTCTGTTTGTAATATTTTAAAATGGCAAGTTATCATTGTTTAGAATAATGTCAAATGGAGAAGACAAGAGTTTTCTCCACAGAACTTCTCATCTTTTAAAAACAAAATATTCCTGTTCGTATAAATTTCTTCAAGGAACAACTTAACTTTTACATCTTTTAACAACTGTCCAAAAGGGCAGAATATCTACCTTTTGTTCAAATCATCCCATTGACAGAACAGAGTCTGGAGCTTCCCCTTATTAACTTAAGCTTAATTCTTTGCATTCAGTTAAAACAGCTTCTGAGAATTCAAATTTCACAAATTTGTTATTTTAACACATCACCTTAATGCATCCAAATACTTTGGCTATTTTGCATAAACTAATTGTTAAGTAATGTTTTGTTGAACTAGGATGTTAGCTAAAACTATCAACTAAAACAGTATAGCCTAACCTCAATCTTTAAACATCCTGGGTTTACTGCATTTATTGTGAATAGTTTGAAGCATTTCTCCACATATCCACTGCCTAAGCAGCTATGCAAAATTAGCCTGCAGGCTTTAAAGATTCTCAGGAATAATAAGAATATTCTAAATTTTTCCCAATGGATCCAGCATAACAATATTTTTTTTAAAACTGCAGTTGCAGCTTGAACTGGCTGACAGGAGACATGAAGTATGCTGGCAGCAATACATTTGCTCCAGTGTTTGGTTTTTGTTTGGTTGATTTGGGTTTTCTGACACAGTACCAGTTACATGCATCCCTGGTACTACTACATCTGCAAGTTTCTCAAATAGATGAGGCCAAAGGTTACCAAGCCATAAATAGAGTAGTTCAACATTGGTACCTCTATATGTATAAAGCGTTTTGGAAAATAATATTAAACCAAAGGCATCAGGTAATTGAGGGAGGAAATGAGAAAAACTGAACTGTAGAAAGTCAAATGCAGCTTGGTACCAGCTGGTTAAGTCCTGTGTTCATTAGCCAAAGAATCAAAAAGTAGAAGATCCCAAAGGACCTATGAATCTCAATTGCTCTTTACTGTAAGTAAAAATTTGCTCTAAATAAATCTTGAACCAAATGCTTTTAAAATTGTAACAAACAGTGTATTTTACTTTGGGTAGTAGCAGTGCTCTGTTCTTTGTGAAATGTGAGTGGGTTTTATTTTGAAAAAAACTTAGGCAGTGCGATTTCATCAGTATCTATCTGTATTGAAGAGAAATGTTAACTCAAAAACCTACTCATTTTTTTCCAAATAGACTGAGACCAGGAGATTTGGCAGTGACTAAGCAACATACGTGAGGTTCCAATTGTTTCATAAAAGATGATGAAGCAAATTATTTTCTATGGTGCTAATAAATACAGTTAACAATATCAATTTTAATTGCATTGCAAAAGGAAAAAGCAAACTATGGTATGACAGTCAATTCATTAATGCGGACAGGTGATTTTTAACATGGATGAGACTGCAGATGTATGAAAACAAGATTCATACATCTTTTCTGTTTGAATAGATGGAGACCACATACAAGATTGGTAAATAGTCAGATACCTGTTACCCTGATGGTTGCTCCTGCTTGTGAAAGAGAAACAGACATCAAAGGAAAGAAAATTAGGAAGAAAATCCAAGTAACAAAACAACCTCATGTTAAAATACTTTAAGTTTTCAAAAAGCCTTTTTTTTGAGATACAAATAAAGACAAAAAATATTTATTACATACTATATGAAATTTTAAATTTCTGTTGTATTCTATTCTAGGACTTACAAGCTCTATCATTAACAGTCAAAAAAAACCAGCTCAGGTCAATTCTAACTTTATTTCCATATATACATTCACTGTGCAGCTGACTGTGCTTTTTTTTTTTTTAAAGACTGATTATAAGAATTTGACTATTGATGGTTTAATTCCAACCATCTATTACCATGAAAAATCACTATAGCCCTCATTGTGGAAACTGTTGGTATAATCACTCATTGCAGTAGTAGTTTTTCAAGCTGAAAAAAAAGTAAGCCTTCTCATTCAATCAAAACCCAAAATCTCCTTAATTTACAATAAATAAAATCTATTTACAATAACTACTTTTCTTTTTTAATGTATTGCTTGGTAATGTGATGTCCTGAATATTCACTCTGTATATAAGCAGTTATTTTTATAAGGAAAGCTTTAGATCTTGAGCGTCACAATCAAACTTTGAATCAAAGGAGGGACTTGGAATCCACTACCTGTCAGAAAATTTAAAAGCCTGTTCTCAGAAAACTTCATATTTACAAATAATAATTGAGAAATGAAATACGCATCATTTAACTGAACTAAAAAAGGAAAATAACAAAAAAATATGGAAATAAATAAACCTAAGCTGGAGGCAAGAAATGAAGCTCCAAATGGATCTTCCTTCTGACTGCACAGCCTGTGTTAATCAAAGACATCTGATTGCGGAGAAAATGATAGCTCCCTGAACTAGTCTTAAACTATCTCGTTTGGATACCGTTAACAATACAGCCCCAGCATTACACAGCTCAAAAACCTGTCTACAGTGTTCCTAAGCATATTTTTGATTGCTGCGTGTACACATGGAGAAATGTAATTTTCAGAATAATTTTGAAAGAACTGCTTGCCCTGCTTTCACAAAATGATCAGTGGTAAAACCACATCTAGGTATGAGGCTTCAAAAAGTGACACAATGCAATCTGCTTCTATTCACAAAAACGGTACTTTCTCAAGTACCTTATACCTCCATGAATGTTCTTTACTGGCAACATCTCATACCTTCTAACAAACTACAAGAAGTCCTGATATTCTACCTGTCTATTCAAAAACATCCTCTTTTTTTTTTTTGGCCTAAGTTTCCAAAATTAAAAAAATAGTTTACAGGCAGAGACAGAGGTTCAGTAGATAGAAAGGAAGAACATTTAAAGATTTTTTCAATTAGAATTGAAAATCAGCTTACTGAAAACTTAATTTGGCTGCTTCATTGTAGTACAAAATAGGTATTAACTAACTACTTTAGTGAAAGCGGACTTCGGATATAGAGATAAGGTAAAACCTAAAATACTGATGGAAACTTATGTAGTCATAAATATCCACAGCTGAGTTTATATTTAAAAAACCCTGAAAATCAGAAAACAAACCCACAAATTTTCTCTTGGAAAGAAGCAGGCACAAATCCATCAGCTTCAATAAATTTGTGTTTTTATTCAAGTAGTGTATTCTCCGGTGTAACACTTGATACAGTAAAAACTAACATCACTGGCCTTTAGTGAAGAAGTTTAGCCCTATGTATATAGAAACAACACTGAATATCTTCTGCATTTTTCAAACAGTAGTAAGAAACTATGGCTTTTCCTAGAAAAAGTTGGTGTTTTTTTGAAAATTACTGTAAATGGTCCCACAGGACAGAGTATTAATGTTACTGTATTAAATTTTCAGATTATTTTGGTATGTTTATATATTTTAATCTGACACTGTGGAATGGGGAGAAATATATTTCTGTTAAGTATCTATCAGTATCATCTTCTTGCAATGAATTATCATCAACATAAAGCACCACACCATGCAATCTATCAAGTCTACTTTATAATCAAAACATGTGTTAGCTAGTTGTCATGCATGTGTCATTATAAAATTAAGTATTTTTCCATACAAAGTTGTCAAATGACAATATAATTTTGAGAACAAGCTGTCCATAACTTGTAGTTCTGTCATAAGGAATCTTAAGTTAATTGTTTAGCATTTAAGATGTTGTTGACGGACAACACATAAGCAATTAAGTATTAGCCTGCTAGAACCTGATGATTTCTGAATTCAATCTTTGGACATTTAATTTTTGTTTGTTGTTTGCTTTAGGAGTTTCTCACAAATCTGCAGCGCTCATTACAAGCTGTGTTAATTTATATCATGAAAAACATGTATACAAGAGGGTTTTTTTTCCACTTACTTGCTGCTGTGAAGAAGCAGATTCAGAAGGCAAACTGTGAGATGATCGGCTACGAGGAGGTGGTTGTGGGGGTTCCAGACTTTGTGGGGCACTCGTCTGAGACGGATGCGATGCCACAGGTATGAGAGGCTCCTGCATCCTTAGCACAGGCATTGGCTGAGTGGTGGCCTGAGCAGGTCCAGCAGCCTGAGGCTTTAGTGGTTCGGGAAGCAATGGCGAGCCTGCAAGTATATTTGCAGTGTTTCCCATTGTAAAGAATTGCAGTAGAAATCTTAATAATGGCATGAACGAGAGCATGTGGCTGTGGAAACACCAGGCAGAACTGCAGAAGAAGAGGCTGTAAGACACCTCTAGCTGCTTACAGATGTTCATGGCAACTAGGTTAGAAATTATCAAAAGCTCAGCATAGTCTCTGTTAAAAGTTATTACTACAGATACAAAATAGAGAACTAGAAACCATGTCATTCTTAAATGTACTTCAGTTGTATTTAAAAGTATTTTGGAAGCCACTACTGTAAAAAGCATATTTTGATATTAATCCAATTTAAAAAAAAAACTTTAAGTTTAGGAAGTGGCTTTAACAGTCAAACATAAACACTACTCCAAATGTTATGATTACAGAAAAAACAGTACATAGAATGGTCTAGTGATCAACACACATGATAGGACACACCAATGTGCTCAGACCAAAACACAGCAATCTGATAAAAGTTTCTCTTGATAACATGAAATCTGTGGGTCTAGTTCTCATCTGACTGCTGTCTGATAAAAGTTTACAATACTTGGGGATGATTAACTGCCAAATGTTACTACAATCAAGAATCTTAATTTCTAGTGAAAAACAAAGAAATCTATTAAAAACAAAGCATTCAAATCAAAGACAGTACTTCTTGACAGAATAGTGACATTTATATCTAACCTCCAAAGCAAACTTACCCCTTGGTGGTTCAGCTGGCTTGGTCTGAGTTTCAGGTGCTGGTCTTGCACCAGAGGGACGGACATGGCTTTGTGGTGCACTAATAACTCCAGCTCGAGGTGGGACAGTCTGACATAATTGGTAAAAAAGAAACTATTTTAGTTCTACTTTGGATCCAGATTCACCTACTGCTAAATGATTCAGGATAATCAGAATTCTGTGAAAAATAAATTCTTTGGTAACAACCGCCAAACTAATTTTTTATGCACATATAAAAGCAAAGAGTTTATTTTCAAAACATTACGAGGGTTCAATTCAAAGCAAAGGATTTTTACAGTCTTCAACTTGATATAAACGTTCACCTGTGCAACCATGTTAGAAACAGTTATTATTTTGTTAGTATTAATAAGTTAGTTTTACCTAAGTCTGTGAGTTGTTGTAAGCAACAAAAACAAACAACAACAACTACTTTATTTGGAGATCTCAGAAGAATACTTTGATAACCTAACGTCAATGCAGACTGTAGACAGCATCTACCCTTTAGGCTCTAATTATAGCCCGGCATTTACAAACTACAGTCAATTTTATGTAGTAAAAATCCAAGATATGCATAGAAGACCCATGGTTATTTTTTTCCCTCTGAAATTTATATTTGCTATTTGTAACATGGTTATTGCTGTTCCTCAGCAAACAGTATTAATGAAACATACATTCTGCCTCATCTGAAGGCTGGAGCCTTCCAAAACTTGTTGGAATAGAAATTAATATACTGGGAACAGAACTGCTCTCATAAAACAAAACTAAAAATTCAACTATTCCAGATAGCCAAGTGAATTACAAACACCACACTTGAAAGCTGAATGTAAAGCGTTAGAATAAAAATGCTACATTTCAGAAAAAAAAGATCACAAGGCAAGATAGTTTGCAAGTTTTGCTTTCTCTAATATTTTGTGTACTTAGTGTACTCAGACAAAATCTAAGTAAGAGTGGATGTCCTAGAAATGGTTTTCAGAGCACTGTTACACAGTTCTATACAAACAAGATTTTAAAACAAGAAAAGAAACTTCACTGCTACAAAACAACTATCAACCTTGATCTTATTTTCACTAGATGTAGGTACTCTGCTTTGAAGACTTTGTATAACATCTGATTCATTATGCTTGGCTGAGTCCTTTTAACAACTTTCTAAACATTTGAAACCACCTAACCTCTGAAATATCTCTCTCCCCTATAACTGCCAAGATGCGTTTTGTCATCTCTTTGAATATTCTGAAAGCAGGCAGAAGGATGATTAGATTAAAAGGCAAAATGCACTTAAAAACTCCCCTGCAAATTCAAAAGCAGAAACACCAAAAAGGAACAGAAAAGAAGCATAAAGGAAGTCTAAAAGGACTCAGGAAGTGGTGCCCGCTGCAGCCACTGTCCCTGGTCCTGAAATTCTTCCACTGGGAGGCTGCCTTAAAACCAACCTGACCAAGAGGAGCGTGGCAATGGCAGTTTGGAAATCCAAACAAGGGCTGAGCTGAGGCTTGAAAAGCCAAGCAAATCTTAGAAGACGTTTTTTCAGACCTACTATTACATTTGTTTGATTGCTTTGTTGTGGTTTTTGGTTGGTTTGTTTGGCTTGTTTTTTTAATTTTATTTTAAAAGAAAGTCTCAACATCTGCAAAGGAAGAGATGGAGTCAGTTTTGTCTTATCAAATGACACTGGCAATTGCTGGCTTTTTCTGGAAACTGGCAAGCAGCTCTAACTGTAGTCCAGCTTCAACAGCACATGAGAACAAAACCACTTTGTTCCTGTCTTGATAATATGAACAAAAATTCCTGCACTTATGCCAGTTTCAAGATACTGGTGGAATCTCTTCCGTACGCCAGATTTTCTAATTAAATTGATTTACAAATGGCAAATTCTGTGCTGTTTCCACAATATAAAAACTTTTTTTAAAAGAAGTGAGTCATATGGTGATAAATAAATACATCCTTCCCTGCATATACCAGGTTTTCTTTATCCAAATTTTAGAAGAGAGTGTTTTACATTTCTGGGAGTGGTAACATTGTAGTAATATCTCAAAGTCCAGAGATGAAGACTTGTTTGCTGTGAGAATCAATCTCTTTGAGAAAAATTAATGAGTGAAAAGTGATTTCACGGGTGGCTTTCAACAGTACTTTTCAGTGGTTTCAATACTGTAGAAGAGTAAAACAGAAACAGCAATGCAAGTAAGGTACTATTTTAAGCTCTACAGTAACTGATGCCTCTGCATAGCCAGCCACCTCCTTTTGTTTCCTGATCATTTCAAAGCTGGAAAAGGAGTCTACAGCCTTTTACAAAAAAAGTATATGGATTTACCTTAAACTCTTACAGTCAGCTGCACCTTTACTTTAATGGCTTCTCTCTCACCATCACGGTCATCCTTAATATTATCCCAATGAGAAGAGCAAAATGCCTTGGAGAAGGAAACCTAAATTCTCCAGTGACCACAAAACTGGTAGGAATGAGCCAATATTTGCTGCTTTTTAGACTATAAAATGTCTGGGTATAAAGAGGTAGGATCCAAGTCAAAAAGCCTAGAACTTCCACAACGGGGAACAAAGGAAGCACAAATAGTTTGGTTGATGTAGCTACACAAAGAGAAGTCCTTCATGCTGCAAAAATTCTCTCTGAAATATGCTGCAAAGTCTAAAGAATTAACAACAAACAATACAATTTCCTAATAATTCTTTAAGAATTCCTATTACTATTAAAACACTATTTCCTTGTCTAACATAAGGCTCCTATTTGCTATTAAAATAAATAAGGCAGATGTCTTCCATCTCTTGGTGTCTTGCTTGTAGTGAAGCATTCAAGTGCCCATAAATTCTTCCTTCACTTCAGTTCCACAAATAAAATAACAAAATGCAGGACTAACGTTTGTTGAATGTTTTGATGAAATTGTAGCATGTTTCATAAAGACCTTAATCAAAATTAATTTTTAAAACAAGGTATAAAATTCCATTCCAACAAGTAATCAGCTACATAACAATACAGCGACTGCCTATATAAAATATTAACTGCCTGCAAACAATTAACTGCCATGAGGATATACATTTCGGTGCAGAATAGAATGCATTTTATCATACCAAATCAGCAACGTAGTCAACAGGAACACAGAATACAAAGAATAACTTTGCACTTTGCAGTTATTTGAAAGTGGACGTAAAATGTGGTATTATTTGGGAGCCTATGAAGTGACTGCACAGAGTACAAAACAATAAAGTCTTGCCCAGTATATATATATTCTGGAGTATTTTGAGTCAATATACAAGAATTGCCGAGGGAATTAACTCACAGAAGCTGTAAAATGACTAGTCAGTTTTGCAGTTTTCTTACTTCTGACTTACAAAAACCCACTGCCAGCATAATGAACTGTGAAAACTCAGGAGGAAAATTATTTTAAGACAGAATACCTACCGGTCTGGTTGTACTATATCCAGCAGTTCCTCCACTTGAAATTCCAGCTGAAGGTGGAGGTTGATTACGAACTAGAAGAGACATTAGAGATCGCTGACTTAGAACATATTTCAAAAACTAACTCATTTCTGTATTTTAATTAGTACAAAGTATGGATCTGTATTACCTAGGTTATCTTTTCTTTGTGTTCCAGGACTTTTTTGCGCTTTGAAGCATGGAAAAAAAAATTAGATTATCTTTGTTAGATAAACTACAAACAGGTATTACACGGCAATGGTACATTATCACTAATGGAAATGGGAGCAAAAAGACATTAGTGATTTTTTTAAAGTTGTTACATATTAAAGCCTATCCATCAGCTAAGCTGTTACTCTAGCACACTGTTATCCCATGGCACACATGAAGTAATTTGACCTTTCTAATTAGAAATTAAGTCAAATCACCTCCTATTTGTTGCAAGCTAAAGACACCCACTTGTACAGGTACCCTGTGTTCTCAATCGTGCTAGAAGTACTTGTTTTCTTTTGTAGTGTATTCTGCAAATATTCTAACAGCAGTCTTTAAAACAAAAAGAACTTATGTAACATGCTGATTCAAAAAATCATGCCATCAGAAGAGTACATCTCTAATCATATACGATTCAGCAATCTACAGGGTCTACACCAAAGTTCCTGAACCTACTCTCTTTGTTTACGGAATAAATATATTACAGCACCAACCTCAACAATTACATGCTGATGCTAATGACAACCTTGTATGCAACATTCAAGTTGTGAAGCGCAAGATAGGAAAAAATTACCTTTACCTCAGACAAGTGCACAATTTCTAACAGGCAAAGAGGTTTAGGATTCTGGCTTGTGTTTCTGTTGCCTATTTCCCAGGAAGGTAAAATCACCATGTCACTTACAGTAACTGGAAGGAGTACTCTGGGATACATAAGACACTTTGTTTATCAAATCAGCTTCCAGTTGTCAGACAACCCTGCTTTCTTAGAATCGGTTAGAACAGGTTTCTGGGTACAGTTCTCAGTAATGCAACTTGTACTCTGGTGCCAGTTCACCCCACTTTGAGCAGGAGGTTGGACTAGATAACCATTGGAGGTCCTTTCCGACCTGAACTATTCCATGCGTATACTGATTTTGCTAATTTAGCAAAATGAACCAGCAATATAGCCAAAATGATGTGTAGTAAACTGGAGGATATCTTGGCTGTGACTGTATCAGGACTTTTATTACTACACCTATGTTTGATGCAAAGGGACACATTCCTGAGGGGATAGGAAGAAACCCAAAAGCATGACTCCGCTGGCATGACTAAAGCAGGATCCATTCAGCGCTATACACACATACTCCAAATAGAATAATACATTTATGAGAAGCATTTTTCTTGCATGTCACATTCATTTAGGTATCAGAATCAAAATATCTACACTGTGCTCTTTAGGAAGAGACAAAATATTAAATTATAAGCAAAATTACTGAAATGGAACTTTCTCTCCCCAAAATATATGAACATATGTAGCTCTTTATGAAACATTAGGTTTCCAAAATTCCTGATGTAGTTGCAGGTATAGTATTTACTCTAGCAATCAGTCAGCTACAGCTTCCTCTGAGAGTCAGCCTTGAAAACAGTCCTCTTGATTACTGCAGTCTGTCATAAACGAAGACTGCCTTCTATAGTAACTCACACCATCACTGAAAAGCAGGAAGCAACTTGGCTGTCTGAAAACCATGTAAAATCAAAGAAGAAAGATCCTACACAATAAATACCTTCACAAAACCACCTTTAGTATCACAGGGGCAATAATATTACTCAGGTATTAAAACAGAAATCCGTTTCTAGAAGACAAAAATTGTTATGTTACCTTCTACTTCTCTCCTAGCTACCCCAGGACTGGGAGGAGCTCCAAGACCTTTTCAGAGAAAGAAGAGAAGCTGTACATTGCATAAGAAAAGCGGTAGATTGAGAAAGTAAAACCAGAAAGAACACTGCTACAAGAAAGCTTTACATAATTTAAAAATGGCCTAGCTGTAGTTACTTTTAGGAGATAACCATTTGTAGCAGCATGGGGAAACTAGACTGATAAAAATTAAGAGATCGGCAAGTATGATCATGTTAAGAAGCATGCTGGTATTTCAATTTTACATTACAGCTGAAAGAGAATCCCATTTCCTCAGTATTCACTCTCCACAAACTCTTGTAAATTCAGAATGACATTATATGTCAGTCTTGAAACTCTTCTAAAGCAGAACATACACCTGTACTGAAACACCTGAAAATAAACAGGTACATCAGTTATTACCCACTATTATGTCTGCTTCCTTTAATTTAGGAGAATACTATGTAGTATGTTTCTGCCAAGACTACATTTGAATAAGCAATTTTATGGAAGAAGTAAATTTCCCACTTTATACAATGTATCATGTCCTATGGAATTGTATCATTAAGTTATCTCCAGCAGCACTCTGTACCTGGGAAAGCTCTATCAACTGTTGCCAGTAGCTGTTACAGTTCAGACTGAGAGAAAGAAGATTTTCAATCATGCATAACCATGCTGAATTATTTTAGTTCTGCAATATGATCAAGCATATACCAGGTCTATAAAATCGTATGGTTAAAAACATGGCAGGACATAAATAACCGTAGACGGTATGCAAGGAGAAATCCTTAAGGCATGCGCATAGGAAAAAAGTAACAGTAAAATATCTGGCAACTCCGAAGTGGCTCAAGTACAGAGGAAGGAAAGGGAGCCAGTGTTCAAGAAGCCTACCTTAAAAGCAACTTTTGCCTTAGCGATGACACAGCCTCATGCTTTCACATCATGTGCCAATGTGTGGTGTCTGCTCAGGAGCTCTCTATGATCTGGAAAGAG